AAGAGCACAAGCCTGGGGGGGGGGGGGGGCAGATGGGCTACATGGTCTAACGGGTCCGCTATGTCTTTAACTTCTCTGATTCTGCACAGTCTTCACTAAAAGCCTTCACAAAGGAGTGTTGAAAGACTCAATACATATTCATGGGCGTTTCTGGAGCTGCAAACTATGAAAAGAAATCAAGTTGCTCTTATCCATGGACTGAAATTGAGAGTACAGTCTAATCCAAAAGGATACCAGCTCACAGAGTGGTGTATGAAAATCTTATAAAGCACTGCAACACTCCATAAATAATTTTCAAACAAGAAGCTTTTTGTTTCACTGATGGCAATACTAAAAAGGAAGAATGGCAAATAGCCATCAAAAAATGGCTGAAACAGCCTGCACTCTGTACCGAAGTTAACTTTAATCACTGCAGGAGTTACACACAGAGTTATCAGTCATTTGTTAGAAACCGCAGACAATCATTGCAGAGGTTTAGATTAACGTGGACCAGAGCCTGGTGCCTTGCCAATGGGGCACCACGTGACAGGCAGCCCATGGAATAAACATTCTGGCACATCAGCGTGCTATAAATCCTCCAAATGAAAGAAATTAAAAAGCCAGGAGCAATTCTGAAAATGATTTATGATTGGAGGTGCACTTAGGAGTGCTTTTATTGTCACAGGAACATCTCCTTTCTCATCCTTAAGGTGACAGACCCACTCTGCTTCCCTCCGGATTTCTTGGTCTACCTTGTGACTACACAGGGTGCAAAAGCAAGCACCCTGGGAGCGCACTGTGGGGGAGGGAATACCAGCACTTTACCAGCACCCCTATTGTGAGGGTTAGCTTTGCACAGCCTAAGGGTAAGAGAACTGCAAATCCGTTCTGATATTTTAAGTATGCAAAAAACACCCCAGTTGTGGGGTGTTTTTTTTTCTTTTACAGCTATACCATAACCATGCTCCTAAGTGCATTTATAAACATTTTATAACATGGATTTGGAATAATGCTTCAAAAATAAACTTAAGAATAGTTCCTAAGCAGAAGGTATTCTTATCAAAATAGCAGTCTGTTGCAAGTCAACCCTTTGCTCCATATGTAAAAAGATGCAGCACTATCTGTTAGTGTAGATCTTTTGTAAATATTACTAAATGTTTCACTAAAATATTATTTTAGTACTAATATAGTTGTGTTTTTTTTTAAACAAAATTGCTTCCACTATAAGCTGAAAGGCAGAAGATTGTAGTTTACAGACAGAATAGCTAAAGAATAGCAGCAATGGCATGAACAAAAGCCTGGATACCTTGCATATCCAGGATATGGGCACAATACTTAATACTGGTCCAAGGCAGCGACACCCAGGGCCGTGGACACAAACTTACTTGCAGCATCACTGTCTTCCTGGTTTCTACTTTGGGCACGTCTTCAGGTGCTTGGCCTTGTGCCTCTTGTTCTTCTGGGCTGGCACTGGGGTGTCCCACACGGGATGCCATGCACATGTACCCAGCAGAGTCAGCTGGTTTGGGTACATTCGGATTAGCAATGTCTGACCATTACCGCTTCTGTGCATAGCTGGAACAAACCTTTAAAAAACAGTCTGCACAGGTGTTTATTTCCATTAAAGGCTTACACATCTCCCAGCATTGCCTATTTTCTGTAGGTGATTGTGGGCCCCTGTGTTGATCTCAAAGTATTTCCTCCACATGTTCCCACAGGTGGATTCTTAGGGTTAATTTTACATTTATCTACTAATCCTTCTGATGCTCCCATCCTGGGGCAGCACAGCAAAACAGCTTGTATATCTTGGTTGGAGGTTGGCTTTTCAAAGCCAGCAGCTCAGGAGCTGTCTTATAAAACTTTGCATGTGTTTGCTGAATGTGACTTTTAGGGGCCACACTCACTTAGACCCACTGACATCCCCATCTCCACCAAGGCTAGGCAGAGCCCTATCCCCAGAGATGCTGTGAGTGGACTGACAGCATGGGGCACAACATGTGGGGATCTGCACTGCAGGCTGGTGTTCTGTGACCTTATGGGGTCCCTTCTCACCCTCCCATGGGGTGGATGTGGTGGGAAGGCAGAGGGTTAAAACTTTCTGGGATTATTTATGGAAGCCATTTCTTGAATTTGCAAGTGTTTATTTACATTTTATAAGCATCTTTTATTATGGTTTGTCTGTTGTGCTGCAGATATTGAGCCTGGATGTATAACTCACTGATTGCCAGTTAATTACATGTCATTAATTGATCAATAACCTGCTTTGATCCTGATCTGCTTTAAAACATATGAATTGGGCAGCTTTTCCTTGCAACAACACTAATCTTTCTCTGTCCATTTCCAGAAATAAACCAATGAAGCTGTAAAGCAGACACCCCTCCCACCTCCCCAGGTGCAACTATCTCTTTACACATAACATACCTCGTACACCACGCTGAACAAAAAAGAGTAGAATGTGATAAAAAGGAGCTGGACACTTAGGGATAAGTTCCCCCTGGCACAGGAAATGAAAGTCACAGCTAAGTGTTTCTGAGGGTAGCAATAACTCTGGGTGGGTGAGAAGACCAATGAGCTCTTGCAGCACAAAGAGAGTACTGTAAGGTGTACAAATCGGGCTGAGGGAAACTGAAGGGACTGGAGCTGTCTCAAATCAAGTGAGCACAAAGAAGGCATTAAGCCATTCAAGCTCCCTCTCTGCAAAGCCTGTGCTGAGGCACTGCAGACTTGTAGCTCAGTAGTTTCCCTGCCTCTGTACAGACCAGGTGTTAGCTTGCTCTGTGCATCTAGTCTGGCCTTCATCCCTCTTCTCATTTTACTGACAAAGCTGCTGAGCAGTGACTGCTATGACAGTAATAGGCACATGTGGATCCCTATTTAATGAGAAATAACCTGAGAGAAATTCTCCATCTGCATAGTAGGTTAATGTTCCTCCGTTTTTCTAATTTGGATTGATTTAGAAATGCTAAGCCATAATTTCAGCAAGGCAGATGCTGCTAGAAATGCAAGATGCAGCAAAAAGTGATTTAATCATTGCATTGTATTTAAACCAAAAATATGAGTAGATGCAATGAGGGACATTTTAATGTGTATCAGTGGAGAAGCATGTCTGAAACAGTGGCCTGGGACCGGCCATGTTCCTCCATAAACAGAGGGGCTGTGATCCCATCTCACAACCCTACGCACCTCCAGTTTGGTATTTCAGTGTTAGAATCTGAACTGCTCGCATACAAGGTATCTGTGGTTTTGACGGTGGCTCTGCCTTTCCCCCATCCCATGAAACCCATCAAATTTCATGGGATCATCAAATCTCCCAGTGGACAGACTGATTTCCATTCTCTGAGAAAGATCTCACTTTCACAGTTTGCAAGGATGTACTAAGGATGTACGCCTTGTCTCGCGGGGCCTTTTCCTCCCTTCCACCCCATCAACACTCCAGCATGAAAACAGGATGCCATCAGGCACAGTTATTAATACACAATAGAAGTGCCATGTGTGATTGTCTGCATTTTATGTAATGCAGATTTAGAGATTTCATTGTAAAGTCATTTTAAACTCTGAACTAATGGGTAGTTTGGCAACAGCTTCTAAGTATGAAATCATTATTAATTCCTTTAGTACCATAATAACATTGATTTAGATGAACTCTTATAACATAGAAATTGTATAGTATTTAGCTGTAATTAACGTCCCCTAATTAGGAAGTATTGCCAAGTAGTTTTCTCTGCTGGCTCTGTTGTACTTAAGTGCAGCTGGATGAAAATTAACCACAAAGGGAACAGCTTGTGTTTTATGTGAAGTTTGCCTTTGATTGATTAAAAAACTATTCCTTGGTACTTTATTTTATTACCAAAGAGGGTGCACTGGATTATCAATGTTATGGAGAGCCACAAAGTCCACATGCTGTAAACTACACACACATTTGTATAGTATATAAGCCCAATGACTTAGCTACACATTCAGAAAATTCACAGATTTATTTTGTCTCAAAACCACAAGTTAACCATAATAAAAATCAATTTATTTTAATGGGGCTGTTGTTAATAAAGTCTGTAGAAATTTAAGCAGAATTAGCACAATTTAATGTCCACTCAGAGGAAAGAGCCATGCACTGCAAACTGCGAGGCATTTGTTGATGTGAAAAATGCTGACATTTTTGGAGATTCAAATTATAAAGGAAACACTGCTGTCAGTTTACTGTACAACTTTGTAGCATATGGTGCTTCTGCTGGTGGGTGCTATTTCAAAGTTTGCAAATCACACTATGAGAGTGTCCCTCTGGTGAGCTCTTGCAACGCTTAGCAACTGTGAATCGAGAGTGACAGTACAGGGGAAGAGGGACTAAAAAGAATTCTAAGTAAGTCAGTAGAACAAAAGCAAAGTCTGTAAGTTAATACATACCTACAGGGGGGGAAAAGGAGGCCAACATGCTAAAGCTAGAAGAGATTCAGTGCCTCCGTTCTTGCAGAATAATGCACAAAATCTTCTAAATTGTTAAAATAAAAATATAGTTTGTCTCTCACAGTCTCTTTGACTTTGGTACGACAAGACAATTAAAACAGCTGGCAGATAGGACATAGAAAGGTTCACTTTCAAAATGTCAGAGTTGCTTTAAGACACGATGCAATCTCCTTAGAAGGTCCAGATGTTTCTTTTACCCATATCTCTGAGAAAATTTCCTACAACCACAAAATAGTGTTCACTACTTGAAAAGCATTGTCCACCTGCGGCTGTCAACACAGAGGAAGAAAGCCAGGAAAAAAGTAAGTTCTGTATTAGCCCAACAATGTGGATTCTAACGAGTCTCATAGAAAGCATACACTGATGACTTAGAGTAACTAAAATACGATGATATCCTACACCATGGTTTTCAAGAATCTGACACTCTGACCCCTTTAACATGCATATACACTATCAAGAAGAGAACATAAAATGTGGATTCATTGTGATTTGATCTGGCTGCTGTTGCTACTTGTTGTTCTACTCCAGATAGTGATTTTTGGCACTAAGATGGACCCATGGCTGCGTGGTACAGTCCTCATCAATTTGCCAATCAAGCTGTCTGAGAATACAAAGTGATGGGGCTGTCAGTAGCGGTTCAACCATAAGCAGTTCTAAACTAAGCAATTTGGAAATTTAAATAGTTATAATGACCAAGATTCTCTGCGTTGGGCCCTTAATTACTGGAATGTCAGTTCAGCTGAAAATTGCCTTTCCCAGGTAATGATAATTCTTAGAAAAGTCTTTGCTTATACACCCACCCATAGCACTCATTAAGTCAAGCTTCTTCCTTTTGTCTGAGGAGCTGTCAATTTTATGTGACATCACCGATCATCTGCCACCTAAAAAATGTCTAGGCTGTCTTGCTGAAGGCAGGCTTATTCTTTTTCAGCTGTAGCACACTGCATGGCAGCCAAGCACTAACAACATTATGCCAAATGAGTGTAATGAGTTGCCCAGTCTTGGTGCTGCTGAACAATGAGCCACTGAAATTTGGTTGTCGGTGTCTTGAGTGAAACTTAGAGCGCGTAAAATAGCAGTATATGCTTTATGTGTGAAGGGAAATGCTGCTACTCAGCCCTATGCAGCACTCAGCACTGGAAAAGAAGGTTGACATTCCCTCCATCACTTCTGGAAAAGGAAGGGAGAGGGATGTTGCTATATTTGCTATATCAGAGGCCTCCCCCTGATGTGGTCATAAGGGACAGAGATGGGTGGAATGAACCTGTGGTGCATAAACATGTCCCTATGTATTCCATATGTCCTATTTCTTACATTTCTTTTGCAGCAATTTGCTATTTCCAATTCAGAATGATCGCACTGTGACTGTCCCTGCCAATCAATGTTTGTGGACATCACAGGTTGTTTTATTTTTAAGAGAAAAAAACATGAAAAAGAAGCAAAACCGTCTCCATGACCAGAATGTGCACATCAACATCCCATTGCTATTGAAACCTGTATTGGTAATATTATTTATTTCCTGCAGAAAGCCAACAGCACCCTGCAGTTGTGGGTACAGAACAGTTATGCTTTGCTCCCCTCTTCCAGTCAAACTGGAGCAGGCTTTGCCTTCTGCCTTCATATGACTAATATGGGATTCCAGAGAACCAAGCAGAAGTAAGAGTAGCATGATTACATCTGCTGAAAAAGTTAGCATTCAAGTGCCCATGCTTCTGAATTGAGATTAATTCAAATAATTTACATCCTCATCCTGGCAATGTGTCATGTACCTCTCTGACACCATGGCCAATACACGGCATTGTTTTACACACAAAACAGAGAAAAGGGACTGCATTACTGGTTTGAAAAGGGAAGGGGGTTTCTTCCATGCTCCTTTCTTGACTGCAGCTCCTTTCCTCACTGGTCCTAGATGCTGGATGTGCCGTTCTTCCACATCTGTAATCACTGCATAAGGTTTGCAATCATATTCTCACAGTCAAAACTATTTTTATTAGTTTGGATGTAACTTGCTCACTCTATCCCTGCTCCTGATTCTTGACTTGCACACAACAAAATAGTAGGGGCCTTAGGCACCTAAAAAAAAAAAAGAAAAAGCCCTCAATAAATCCCCTTAAGGGCCCATTTTAATTCTGCTTATGCTCTTGATGTGCAAGTTCTTACCCTGCTATCCCCCTAGAAGCAGTTTATTTCTGTCTGTCAGCACTGCCAAAGTGACAAAATCCCCTTTCCCACCCACCATGTAATTGCTCTGTTGTTGCCCTTCCCACACATGCCTGTAGAAAGCAAGCTCTCACTTTATTTGTACTGCCAAAGTGAATAGCATCTCTTTCCTCCCTCCATGTGGCTTTCAAGTAGTCACACTATCATTAGTTATTTCTGTTCTGGAGGAGCTCCCCGTCTGAGGAGGCAGCATACTCCATAGGAAGTAGAGCGAAGGCCTGATCTGAGAGCTCACATGTGCCCCCAATTACTGGAGCTGAGGAATTTGGGGGTTGTAAGGAATGCAAAAACAAGCATAACAAATAAAGGACATTCGGAGAAGGGTAGTAAAATAAGAAAATCAAAGTACCTGGCTGCACTTTTTAATCACATTTGTCCTATTGAAAAGGTTATGGTGCAAAACAGATCCCTTTGTTCTGTGTTCACACAATGCCATGCTGTTAAATTTAGTCTATGACAGGAAAACTATCCATTGGAATAGGGTTATTTTTACTTTTCCAGTGTTTTTGTCACTCTCATCTTCATTCAAACTTCCATTCTTGGCAGAAAACGAATGTCTAAAATTTGTTTGTGGCTTTAGTTTCTTTGGGGTTTATTTACCCACTTATTTTAAAGGTGCAATACAGATTAATTTCCCCACCTCATTCTCCATGCTAGGTGTATGATTACAAGAAGACCACACCATTGCTACTAACTAAATCACCAGAAATAATTTCTTTGACTAGCATAAGGACACTACCCCTTAACTCTTATTAAATTTCAAAATTCTCTGAAGCATGGTTACATGGAAACAAGAAACAGAGTTGCAGAACCACTGATCTCTAAGGCCAACAATGGACAAATAAATTATTTCTTAATAAAATTTAAAAATATAGTAACATAGCCTCAGATAAAACAGACTTTTATGTTAGACGTGCCAAGTGTTTCATGTAGTTTTGCTCCTTTGTGGTTTGGCAATCTAGGGTTGGTAAATAGCCATAGTTACATTGTCAAATAATAGGAATAGCGCATTTTGCAGTCAGCATCCTATCATCTTCAACCTAACATTTCTGCAATGTGAAAATTCTCTTTGTGAAAAAAAGTCCTGGACAATGGTCTAAATCATATATTTGCTCTTCCTCTGAGCACCGGTGGTTGTCAAAACCTGTTGCACTCTAGTAGAGGAGCCATTTAGACATATTCCAGGGCTGGCTCCATGCAGACAAAATGCATTAGAGGCCACTCAAATACCATATCTAAACAATCACATGAACCTGCTTATGCCCACTTCACCCACAAGCTTTCCTGTGTACCACACACAGAGGTCAGCTACCCCCCTCCTCTGCAATGTGGAGCGCTGCCAGGCACAGAAAATATCGAGGGCTGGTAGGAATTAATCCATGTTACCTCCCAAGCATATATTTAGGGCATCAGAGGGGGTGTTATCGAAAACAATGCAAAACCTCAAGTTGGGAAAACAATGGGAAGAGTCTAATTTTAGTAAAAGCATAATGGACTAACCTTAATCCTGTCCCTCTCTGGATGCCCAGACTTCTTTCTGGGCTACTGTTCCTCCCCAGCACTCTCCCACTGTCCCAGTTACTTCCTAGAGCAGTCTGTTTTTATTTAAACTTCTGTTTATTTAGAATTAATGAATTAATTTTTGAAGCAGCCAAAATGTATCCGTGAAGGAGCTGTGTTACAGTACCATTCACTTCCTGTGCTGACCCAAAGAAACATGTGCTGTGGAATAGCCTTGTTACGCTACTGACGATGATGCTCTGACGGTGCTGCCATGCTGGACACTGGCTGTGCACTTGCATATTTGGTTTCCAGTCCTTCAGTCTGCTTTTTTAGCCCTGACAGGACCTTCTCTCTCCAGTTCAGCTATTATCAAGTCTTCATAGCTGTGTCTGATTTCAACATTTTATCATCGGCTCTAAAATCTTCCCTTTAAACCACAGCAACATGGATTTGTTAATGGCAGCCTGGAAATAACAGCCTTTGTCATAAAGCCCTACATTAAAATTTTATCTTTATGGAAATATTTACATTTGGGTTTGGATAAACAGAAACCAGTTACTCCTGCTGTGAGTACAGATCAGTGCTCATGCTGTAAAAATTGAGGGGATGAGAAACACGAATAAAGAGGCAACTCTGGAGGATGGTCCCCGATGGTATGCAGAACCCCCCTCAAACCCTGTTATTTACTCCTAGATAGTGATTCTAAAGCTGAAATAAAAACATCTTCCTCAAAGTAGTTTTTGATGGGTTCAAATGTGATATTTCCATCAGTGATGATTTACTGTTCTCAGCAGTCCCATGGATCCAGCCCTCCTGAGAAATCACACCCCTTCTCTGATCCCCCCCAGACTTGTGGAATTTGGGAAAAGATTCAGATGGCCTTGTGAAACTACAGAGCCTTGTCCTCTGTAGCCTCTGATTTCTACTGATACTACCAAAGGAAGAGCCAGAGAGCATCAACAATTTCTGTAACATCAGCCAGAGCCAATAAACTGCTCCTTGATGACAACAACTCCTCACCAGGCTTGGATCAGTAGCTGAGCTTTGCCTTCTCAGTCCTAGCACTGGAACCCTGTTGGCCATCCCGGCAATGGCTGTGTAATGCTGTCATTCAAACGCAGCACACTCGGAGCATCCCAAATGGCTTCTGTGGATGGCACACAAGACAGGGACTGAATGACTTTCACTCTCTAAATTGTGTTGACACTGCAGAACTAAGAGGAGTATGAACATGGATGGTTATTTTTCAAGTCATTTCAGCAGGTGAGACCTTACTTACAAACACAGAATAAATAAGCTGTGTAAGGCAGTGCCAGTCCTGTGTTAAGAATTTAAGATATATATGTAAAAAAGGATTTAAGCAAACCATCACTAAGTGCCTTGGCTTGTGCTGCTATTGCAGGATCAAGAAGCTGCATGCAGCATCCCACAGGCTGTGTAGCTCAGATACCCAACTGCCTGACATTTACTAGTCCCCCTAAGATAACCAGAAGAGTGACAGGTACCAAAGCACTACCCATAAAAAGCCAGCAGTATCCTAGATGAGCAGCTGACCAAGATTAGGTGACAAAGGGCCAGCAATACAAGGGAGCATTGCCCTCCACGCGGTGCACAGCTGAGCTGTGATAACTCTGCTTCATGCCTCAAAGAGGCAAATTAGGCTCATCCGTGCTTGCTGACACCATCTGCAGGGCTATACAGCGTTACAGCATTTAGCTGAGATCCAGCACATCTGGGTGTGAGTCTTTTCTCATCATAAGGGGCCTCAGATCCTCATGTCCTACCCTAACCCCAGGTGACAGCATCGTAGTGACACTGTGCTGATATGGGTGTGCTGGTACCATAGCACATCTGTAAAGGAAAGCACTTGAGTCCTCTTCTGAAAAGCCAGAGAGCTTCAGTACTAATTGGCCAAGGAGAGAGGAGAAAATGGGCATAAGCAAGAGGGACCATGACTCTTCAGATTATTATTGCAAGCTTTCCTCTGACAGCAAGAGTCTGGTCCCAGTGCACTCTCCTAGGAAGTGATCTATTTTACATTGCATGGATTTTACGTAGATAAAATACAGAAGGAACTGGAACTCAGGACTCCCTCTTTTAAACTAAATGCCATAAGCACTTACGGCTCCTCCTTTCTGGACAAAAGTCCTAACATCAAGTCACTGCACAGGGTCAGAAAAACAGAATTTGAATGAAAGCAGAGGCTTCCACCCCATTTCACCAAATCTGGTGGGCATTCACAGATTTTCAGACTCCTCCAGCAAGAAATCTGGGTAGGGACTTTTTACAGGAATGTGTAGTGATAGGACAAGGGGAATGGCTTTTAGCTGACAGAAGGTAGGTTTAGATTAGACATTAGGAATAAATTCTTCACTGTGAGGGTAGTAAGGCACTGGCACAGATTTCCCAGAGAAGTTGTGGCTGCCCTATCGCTGGCAGTGTTCAAGGCCAGGTTGAATGGGGTTTGGAGAAACCTAGTCTAGTGTGAGGTGTCCTTGCTCATGGAAGGGGGGTTGGAATTAGATGATCTTAAGGTCCTTTCCAACTCAAACCATCCTATGATTCTATGAATATATTGTTTGAAGATCCTGCTTGATCAGGCTTAGCCATAAAGTTAGGCAAAGAGCTGTTCAGATATTTCAAGAGTAGAAGCTGCTCACTGTGCATTAAAGTTGATTATGAGATCTTCGCAAAGCCTGTAAGGAGAAAACTGTCCACAGGAGATTATGAGTCAAATGCTGGCGCTCCAAATAAATGATGCTATTTAGGACTGCAGTTTAAGATATACTCGACTACATTTAACGGAAGTATCACTTAGGCATCTCTGTTCTTCTTCTATCTTCCTTTTTAGAGGCCGATCCGCCTCCTTGAGCAGTCCTGAAACTTCATTCAACTGACACGGTTACAAAGTTTCGGCATCATATCTCTACTAGCTTTGATTCCCTCCTATTTTAAGCAACCATACGTGGAATGAAAGACAAGCACACATTTCTTAGGCAACCAAAGGCATTTAACTTTTGGCTGTGTGACACAGGATGAGAGATGTACCCAACCTCCCAACTTCTCGCCTGAACTCATGCTTCCTTCAAGGCTGACATTTCTCCTTCTGCCAAGTCCAATCAAAACCCTATCTCACAACTATCCAGAAAACTGCATTTACAACCAGTCCAAGGCTCCCTAGCCAGTGCCAGCTCTTCACACGTGTTGGAGTGGTTGGTAGGAAGGAGAACGGCCTTATGAAGCACACCTGCTTCTATTTACTGGACAAGAGCCTGTTCTCATTTCTGAGTCAGGCATAACACTTGTGAAGATGCTAGAAGAATTATTCCTGTGTATGCTAACTCCAAGAGCAAAATATGTTCCCTGCTATTCATGCAAAATGTAAACCCTTTCTTTTGCCTTCAGGATAATCTACCACCAGCTCCAAACTTGCACAGTCCGTTGATTTAAATCACAACTCTGTAGGGTAAAATTTGGCTTACGATGCCCTGTACTAATTTAGGAGGAAAAGAGGGGCCTCGCTCATGAAATATTTCAGGTATAATCAGCAAATTGTGGCTACAGATGCAATACAGGAGCATTTTGGCTTGGTAACCAAGGCAACACTTCTTGCTTCAAGACACACTTTTCTGTTGATAATCTATTGTAATGCCAGTAATTGCAGCTGACAAGGCTCTGTTTGTTGTGAGAGATAATTAGCACTTGAAATAAAGTAACAGATTTAAATAAACCGGGGGGAACTGAGTGGTGTGACCTGGTTGCTTTAGAAACAAACAAGAGCTTTGGGGCCTGCACACTGTGTGATGTTAGTGGTGGCCTCCACAACAACTGAACAATACCAACATTTATTAGGCATTGCTTAATTGGGAATTACAGTTGCTTTTGTGATGAAAACATTTTCTTTCTCTTTCTCATCTAGGTTAGATTTACATTGTAAAACAAAGACCCACAAAACCCCTTTACCTACCTTAGCAAACAAAACTACCAATGTTTTCATGTGCTTGTTCTTTTGCCTAGAATTTGATTTATTTCAAAGCCAATGTTTTAAAGTAAGTGTTTTGGACCATTGCGCACTTTAAAGAATCGAGGGTGACTCTACCCAAAGATGTGGAGGGAGTGTTGTTCATTCAGCAGATACCAGCTATGTCCCTAGGGTCAGCTTCAGTTAGCTGCCAGTTTATTCTAGTGCTGGTTTCATGGCTTGGGTTGTTAACATGGCTCCTTAGTTGATGTTTGTGTTAGGTGTTGAGGTATATAGAGGTAGACAGGCAAACCAGGATTGTTGCCTGATGAAATGTGGGAACCTATATCCTGCAGAAGTAGTATTAACTAGATGGATGGGAAATGTGGGGGTCAAAAACCACAGCAATTCCCTTAAGCTCCAGTAATAAAGCCAAACTTGATATTATATTTTTCTTTCTGAAATGCTGAGACACAGCTGCTCAGTGGATAGCAAGAAGAGGAATACAATCCTACTGAATGTTTGTGCCGTGAGGAATGGAAATATTTTACATAAACTTGTAGCTGTGGAAATGGGGATGCTTTTATGGTGAAGCAACATAACCACATGGCTGCATGCAGCTAAAACTAATCTACTCTAGTGATCCCCTTTTCCACAGTGCCCAAGCATCATTTTCACAGTTAAAGAGAAAACCAGATTTCTTAAGAATATGAGATCAACTTGTTTACAAGACAGGAATGAAGGCTCAGCCTACACAGGTTTGTCAGCTCAGGCTTACAGGCAAACACATGGCATATTAGTGAACTCAGCCCATGTCGCACAAGGTCAGCAGCAGCAGCCCAAACTACAGGCCACATTTTTCTTCTGAAAGCCAGGCTAGAATAGCTCAGCTTCTTCAGAGTCTCACCAAACCTGTGAAACCTCCTGAGCAGGCCATGGTATCATATCCATTGTCAAAACAGAGACTGCTTTGTAAATGCATTCATCTCAGGGCTGGCCAGAAGGTTAAGTTAGTACCCGCTTAAGATTTGCTCATAAGACATTAAATGACTAACTATGGCTAGTGATATTCTTTCTTTAATGCTACATCAAAAAGACAACATCTCTATTATCCTTAAGATAACAGCCACATTATTCCTCCAGTTCACATAAAAATCATACAATCATTATAAATTACTATTCACAGACCATGTAAGGCAGCATAGTCATATTCTCAGGAGTCCAAAATTGCATTATTACTTTCTTTCTACAACTGAGGTCAGTGGTTAAAGATACCAAAATTGAATTGCCGGCTGTTTGCTAGCCTCTGCTGAAGTTACAAAGATGGCTACCAGAGGAGACCAGACTGAAGCCCAAGGAAAGCTTCCAAGGTCAGTGGTCAGGCTCTCCCCTTCCAGCTCCCACATGCCCAGTTTTTCATACAAGTTCACCAGAAGCAATCAAAGATGGTGCTATTCCCCTGTTAAAATTATAAGCTCAATGCATAGATTACAGTTGTCTTCTTTCTTTAGTAATCAGCAAATTAGTTTAGTCAGGAAATGTTTCTGATTTTTAAATGCTTTGGAACACACAAAAATGTTGCATTTTAAAGTTATTTAAAAACCAACAACAAATAATGATCTGCAGTAGTTCCCCAGGAATTAAAAATTGCTTACAATTTGTAGCGTCAGGATCTTACCGCAAATCCCATCCCAGCCCCACTTCTAAGTAGCTCATAAAAATGGCCTGTTTATTTTCTAAAATGATCTGCATAAAAAGATTAAGCTTATTTATTGTAAAAATTAACGTCTGGCTGAAACAGTAATGACTACATCACCGAAGAATGTTCTTCCCCTGAATGCCTCCCTCGGCAGTGCTGTGCAAGGAGACCCGCATTTATAGTCTCCTAGAATAAAGTTAATGCTCATAAGACTCTGCTCTTGTACGCCTACAGCTAAATCATGGTATCTAGCAGATGGTGTATGCATGTTTCCTAATGCAATGTCTTGTATGTGTGTAGTTGTCATAATTAAATAATAACTACCTACACCATCTCATGTAACAGGAGAGCCACAGCCATATTTCCCATCAGAGTGAAGCCGTCAAACCCAGCTGTGGGTAGATAAAGTAGGCTATAAGGAAACTAACACACAAAGCATCCCATCACCTCCTCTCAGGAATAAAACAAGTTCTTCTGTATGTGGTTAGTCCTTTTTAAAAAGTAAACAAAAACATCTCTGCCCCAAACTTGCCAGATACCAGGGTCCCAACACATCCCTGAGGTTAAGTAATATGTTCTCGTGCCTAACGTTAAGTAATTTATTCTTGTGGGAAAGGGGTCCGGCCTGGGATTTTCCTTGCTTTTCATGGTCATCATCATGACAGGGAATTATGGACATCTGCAGGAGAAGTGTCTGCGAGACAAGGCAATTTGCAGCTATCATCTTCTTAAGATAAATGCAACAGCTGCTATTTATATTCCTTTATGGATGGAAGACAGAATGATAGGTCTCTGCAGATATTCATTCTTTCCTTGGCTTAGGAAGAGAATTAAGTTGTTGATTACGCCCAGCAAGAAACATCTCTGTTCAAACTGAGGAAAAATGTAACTTATTTTAAGGGATACAAGTTTAACAATTCCAGTATTATCCTTCACTTTGCTGTAAAAAAATCCTTTTGTTGAGGATACTATAAATGCCTAGAACAGATGAAAAGCATTTAGCCTTTATTTCATAGTAAAAATTAGAATGTAAAATCAAGAAAAGCATCTTTCAAATTTGAGTGCGAAAGTTATACAGGAGGTAGTGGGAGCTATTTACCTCTTTTGTGTGAAAAAATACAAGGAAGCTTTGGCTCCCGCTCTCCTTTGGCCAGGCAGGGTTCTGCCCATGGATTAGCCTCATCTTCCTCCTGCCCCAGCAGGTTGAACATCCCAGTTAACTGGCTGCTTCTTGGGAGTGGGGAAGCAGTAAGCAACATCTCCCTGTGGCTTTCTCTTCTTTAAGGTGGCACAGCAGCAGCTGATCATCTTTCCCCCACTTCTCCTTCAGGTTCAGAGAAATGGAAATTGAAACCAGAAGTCAGTTCTAAACTTTGTAAAGGGCCTCAACCTCTTAGCAAACAAATCTCTCCTATCTTGAGGATGCTGATGTCCTTTTTTTTTTTTTTTGGCTTGACAAATGGAAGATTTAATTGTCTAGAACATGTGGATGACCAATTTGATATTTATATGTCAGACTATGCTAATTATGCTTCACATGTAAGAGAAGAAACGAAAAATTCCACCTTTAAGTTTCACATCATATACTCCAATTTAAAGTCAAGGTGAGCTATTGCCACAGGAAGCTTATAAAGACAACAAACTCACTTCTTTTTTTCCTCCTAAAGTTTACACGACAATAAATATGCATGCCATGCTCCCTTCACAGTGTAACTGTTAGAGAACACACTGTAATCTGTTTAAAGAGGAACATGAATCAGACTGATAAAAATAATTGGTTGGATTTTTCTTTTAATTTTTTTTTAATATTTTAAATAAAGCTGTCAAAGGTTCCTGTGGTAATGAAGAGCTTTGTTGTTATGACAACTGCTTATTCCTTTTCCTTTGAAGAAGTCTGCAATTTGATAGGCAAAAACATCAGGAATAATTAAAACAAATGGTAAGTGAAGAAAAACATCTGCTTGGAAAAATCCCCACCCGAAATCTTAGCAATCATCTTGCTTGTGAAGTGACAAACTTCAGGTGGAGTGTCTTCATGTCAGCCAGCACAGGGGTGTTCAGCAACTGCCAGGGGACCAGGTAACCTATGCCAGAAAGCCCATGTTTTCATGAGGGGCACATACACATTTCTCACATGGCACACTGTCTTCCTCTCCAAAGTGTATTGTTACCAAAGAGGGGTCTTTTCAGACCCTTCTTTTAATTCTGCTACTTCTCCATTTTAAAAGCAGCCATAGTTCAAAACATGGCCTCCAAGTGCTTGGCAGACAGTGCTGGTCTCTCCTGCAACACGCTTCCCTCTTGTTGCAGGATGGGGACTAGGCAATGGTAAGCTCAGGGCAAACTGGTGTGAATTAATAGGTTTTGAAAGGAAGAAAGGCCTCCCTTTAGAAGCAAAGGTGGACATTGCCAAAGAGTCCTGTAGTGAAGATGAAGCAATCCTCAGAGCATTGGCTGGGGTGTACTGGGGGTCTTCATCGCTCTGATGAGCCATCATTGTACGGGCAGCTAAAGCAGACCACACCTGAGAGGACAAGCACACAGCTTTGGCTTTGACAGATGCACAAACACAATGGATATTGAAATGCATCAATCAGAAGTATTTCTGCTGTTTGGGACTAATATTCAGTTCAGGGAGAAGCACACCATCGACAATTACCAAGAATTTGGGAATGTTTTCCCCAAAGCAATTTTTTTTCCACTCATTGTTATCTTATGGGCTGTCCTTCCCAGTGGACATGTGACTGTCAGATTTTAGTCATTTCTTACATATGATAATTAGTCTGCTCCACTTTACAAACTGCAAGATTTAACCCCATAGATGTAATATGACAGAAGGGATACAAATGCATGTTCCTGGCTCTATAATGCTAATAAACTTGGTGTTTGGCAATAAGCTACGATGATACACGCTGCTCGGAGACTGGAATCAGGAGTGCCAACATTCCTGCTGTGCATCTGACTTCATGAGAAATAGGACACTTTGCAATAATTTCTGTAGCTTCACATGCCAGCTCGTACTGCCAGGCACACCATGGTCTCATTTTGCTGTTCTTTGCTGCACACGCTG